TACTAGTATTCACAGTTCTACAAAAAAATATACAAAACCGAAGAACATTTACACAAAATTAAGCTAAAAGTATGTTTTTGGTTATCCCAAGTCAGCTTTGCTGTGGGGTAAGCTATCCAAAAAAAATTACAAAAATTGGGATATCAAATATTGACACCAGTGTGCTGCATTAAGGCACTGGTGGAGTCACATCTTATATTACTTGGAAAATATAGCAGAAAGATCTTCTCACCAGATTCACTGGCTATTGCAGAGATGTGGCCTCAGTGTCTTGCCATGCCTGTTGCAATCTTATTATTGTAAGTGTGGAAAAAAAAAAAAAAACGGTTAACAATCCCCCTTCAAAATGGCTACAGCAGAAGTGTGGATCAGCAAACAGACCGTCCCATTGCAGTTCCGAAGTCTCAAAAGAAGCCAGAGGAGATTAATTATTCTAGTAATTGGACTGAAGACTCCATTTTGGATGAACTGCAATAACAATGATTAAAAAGAACAACCATCAAGTGAAACTGTCAGTCGCAATCTGTGATTACTGGATTCAAATCAAAACCATAAAGCTAAAAAAGGTACAGAGAACCTGACTGTAGAACATGAATACTCCAATGTAAGGGTCCAGTCACACTTTGCCGACCTTGTGTTATTGTGTTTTGTGTCAAGTTGAGGTTTCCTGTGTTAAGGCAGCCGATTAATTTTGAATGGACTGGCAACGTATGAGAATGGACAAAGTTTTTTTTTTTTTTCCCTTGGAGTCCAGAACAAAGCACAGGGTCCAAAGTGATTAGTAAAAGGTTAGTGTTAAAAAAAAAAAAAAAAAAAAAAAAAAAAGACCTTTTTATACTTACCTGCTCTGGGGGTTCCCAGCTACCAATCTGGGCTTGATTCTGAGCCACTGGATAGAGAGAAAACAGGTGACGCACACACCTAGTGCATTATCCAAGGTTTATTGTAGGAATGAAATAATAAAAACATACTCACAGACGAAGCATGTATCTAAAAAGCATAGAAAAAGGACAATGGCCACAACGGCGGGCAAGGTGTTCTCACTGTCAGTGCGGTCAAATGCTGACGCGTTTCGGGGACGAATCCCTTTCCTCAGAGCTGATGACCAACCTCTGATACTGATGTATGGTGTATGGACAGAAAGAGCATCGCTGTTGATTCCGAGCCAAGCTGAGTGCGTCTATTGACACAAACACAGTGCGGCTTGGCCCAGCACACTTCTCACAGTATCTGACTAACAGCAGCAGGAGCCAATGGCTCCCACTGCTGCTTCAGCCCCTGGGAGGGGAGAGAAAGCAGTGCTGCTGCTCTCAGGCACAGCGCTGGAACAAGATTGGGCTAAGGTAAGTATTTTGGAGGGGGGTTGAGGGGCAGCTGGACTTTAAAGAATTCTCTGCATGAAGGTAAAAAACCTTTCAAGTAAAAAAAAAACCCTTTAGCTTTTACAACCACTTTAAGGTCCCATCCATACCGGAGTGTTTTGCAAATTGAAGCTCCAAAATCCCATGTATTTCAATAATGGCTGTTCACAATTGAGCACTTATGTGCCTGTACCCTGACACTCCAAAACCTACAAGAACTACTTTTGAGCCAGAAAGAGACATTTTTGACCCCACAGACTTGAATAGGAACAGGCAAATACACACAAATCGAGAGTTTTTTGCACATTTATTTCAGGGATCCGTTAGTCTGTAATGCTTTCCATTGGCTAAAATAAAAATAACTGAAGTTTGAGTACACATGTAAATGCTTGAAATGTGCTTCTGCTCAAGTGTGGATATTCCTCATGTCCCATTTTGAAACATCCCAGGGAAGTTTCTATCCACTGTCTCAACGGGGTATGCGCTACTTTCTGTAAATTAACACAATTGCTAGGTGGATTAAACAAGCAGCTTACCATGGGGTCACCTGCTGCTCCATATGTACATTCACACATGGAACAGCGGCTTGGTCCTGCCCCCTCTCTCCTCATTGGCTGACTGGCTGATTGACAGCAGTGGGAGCCTTGCTCTCTCAGCCAATGAGGAGGCAGAGACCTGGGACAGCCGAGGATGTTATGCACATTGATGGATCCCGATGAGAATCAGGCAAGTATTGAGGGGGCAGAGGGCACTGCTGCACACAGGTTATTTACCTTTATGCATAGAATACATGAAGGTAAAAAAAAAAACCTTGAGCCTTTAAAACCACTTTAAGGTGCACTCTACCAGATCTGTTAGTGTTTCAAGGGCTCCTCAGGATCAAACAAACATCTGTTTCTCAGATTTCCAAGGCCTGGTCTTCAGTTCACACATTTATTCAATTTTACCAGGTGGGTGTTCAGGCCTTCTCTAATTCCAATTCTGAGCTCAAGGTGCTACAAGATGCTCTCCAAGTTCCATTGAACCATTCTTGACCCATTTGTTACTTGGCCATGTTAACGTTTGGTTTCTGCGTTGCCCACCTCTCAATTGAATGGATTTTGAACATCCCATGTGTTATTAAAAGCCCTGTGTTCTGCACTACTAAGGAAATATAGGAAAAAGACCTGTGTCTTGTACTGTATTCCAAGGAACAGATTTTACTGGAAAATTAAAAATCCTATGTTTTTTATGATCTCCCATTCCTTGCTACAAAACCAAAGCTAGGTGGGAGAGGAAGGGGTTATATAGGGCGTGTCCCTGCATTTTTTTTTTTTTTTTTAATTTTGCCAGTGTCCAATCACCTGATGGTAGCTGCATATAACTCATAGTAAAAGACTGAAGATCCTGTGTCCTGTACAACTAAAATACGTCCATTGCTTTGTAAATGCAGTTGTGCATGTTTTTTTACATACATGATAATTCTACCAAATTTAATAAAAAAAAAAAAAAAAAAAGGAATAAGAGACCCCAAGTTCCCATTTCTGCAGAAGACCGGCTCCCTGTACTTTCATCCAAACCACTGCAATCAATGTCCCGTTGGTTCATTGATAGCTGCCCTGAGCATTTAGCAGCTGAGGCGTGTATTTAATGGAAATGTATCTGCCACTTTTGCTGCACAGTTTGGCCAGTTAGTGGAAAAATCCTTTCCAGTGAAATTAAGATTAGCCATAGCTAGCTCGAATTATACAATCTGAGCTGTGGGTGACCATGTCAGCGCTACTCCACTCAACAATTGAATAGTGGAAGATCAGCAGCCAAACAACAACTGCATCTCATCTGATGCAGCCACTGTTCAGGTGGTCAGGCAGTAACAAGAGCTGCAACTGCCTGAAAACAACAGCTTCCGGGCTTAACAAGAGGAATCTACAAGTGTATGGCAAGCCTACAGGGTAACAAAACTATGTTATGAGGAACTCAGAAAATTAAACACTGCTATGTTAATGTTAGCATAAAGGTTGCATCATATATGTAATGTTTTTATTTTGCTGATAATTCCATTTTAAAAGGTTAGGCACATCCTGTGTTAGTCTCATTTTATGGAAATCTCCTGCTCACATATACTTGAAAATATTGCATTGCCCCTGCAATGAAAATAAAGACACCTCACGATTAAAATTGCAAACTGATGAATGAATGTGAAACATTGCATAAAATACAGAATTCTAAAATAATTACTTGCTGCCATGTGGAGATCTTCAGAGAAAAAAAAAAAAAACATATCTATTGTACCTTGTACACCATATTTATTATTCTTAGGCTGGACACAGCCTACATGTTATAATTTCTTGCTTTGCTTGTTGAACATGAAGGATGTGTAAAATGCACAAATATACGGCAGTCACCAAAATTGCCTACAGCATGATGGTACACATAGATAATAGTCATAATTAGAAAAAAGCCAATGTAAGGAACCGGATATATTTAGCTTGGCCTGTGATCACTATACCAGTCTCTTACGTTCTGCCCATATAATGACCATTTACAAGACAAAATGGCTTCCTTTTGTGAATAAAAACATTGAGGTCCCACAATCAACGCTGGGATTCCCAGTTTAATGGGGTTTATATTTATTGTACTGGGCTGCAATTTAAAACCAAATCCTCCCCCCCCAAAAAAAAAACAAAAACACAACAGATTTGGAAATTGGCAAATATAAAGAGAACACACACACAAATAAATGTATCATTTAATTATTTCTCCACATGAATGTATGGGCATTTCATGTGACACAGCTTTGCCAGGAGTGGGTTAGCTCTATCTACCAGGATCCCACACAGCAAGGTAGAGATAGCAGTTGAGAATGGAGCTTCTCCTCAAGCCACTTGGATGTGGATGGCCATTACTTAATCTTGCAAAGATAAGAATTAGTAAAGGATTCAGATATCTGTGTGGTGCCACATATCTCAGTAAACATATACTTCATACAGCCATAGAAGCTCATGGGATGAAAGCCTGCAGGTCTATGAGCTGGGGAAAAGATAGATTGTTTGATAGCTACCATATCTCAGACAACTATCTGCCATCTCCTATCCATGGCCATTTGTATAAAAGGCTCTTGAGATTTTACACTTCTAAATCAATACATTCCTCTATAGCATTCTAACAATTATATCCAGTAATGGATTGTCAACCAGAGATTTTAGTCGCGTGAAAGTTCCTGTGTCGATTGATGCATTCTCTTGCAAAATAAATAAAATACCTACTACTCTTTGGAAATTATCACCTCCAGATTTAGTTAACCCCTGAGCATGACCCAAAGACTGGGTAAAAAAGGTTGACCGATCTTCTGGCCTATTCGTTTTGGACATTTCCAGGACTCATTTAAACCACACTCGATACAACTTACTGAAAATTAGCTTAGAAGCAAATACAGAACGTTGTTTTCCCATGGAGAGCACTGCAGGGTCAGAAATATGTATGGAAGGTTCCAACATCATCAACTGTGTAGAAGAAGCCAAATACACAAACACAAATGAACAGCCACAACTGAAATTTCATGGGCTGGAAAGAAGTCAAAGAAAATTCCATCTTGGCAAGTCAAAAAAAGGACACTGGCAAGGGAAAGGAAATCTACAAGGCAGAAGAATGGTGATGCCACTAGGAGTCTTCCACGATTTGTAGAAGAGAGTTGATTGCAGCATCCTTGTTCCCTTGGTGTTGATCCAGGACTGATTTAATGACCTCAGGGTCCATTGTAGGGAACATATCTTTGAGGGCTTTAAGGTCCTCTTCCCAAGATTGATGTTGAGGATTTACTGCTGGCTGTGGTAGAGTCATTGGTACTCCAGGGTTGTACATACCTGGCATACCTAGAAGAAAATGTAAAAATGATTACCAAATACTTTTATACATCTGTCACTGGACATGAAACTGCTGCAAAGTATTTAAACAAGATTTTAAAAAAAGTCCTAATAGAAGGGAGGTTTACACAACAAGGGTGGAGTGCAGAACTCCAGCAAATGCTCCAGTAAAAAAAAAAAAAAAAAAAAAAAAAGCGTCAATATTTGAGAGTTCTCCTCAGATTTACACTTGGGACAGCTTTCTCTGCAAAATTCCTATGTGGAAAAACAGTTGGCCTTATCTAAAATCAACTTACAATACATATGAATGCATAAACCTAAACCAGGGAGGTAGTTCATAAAAAAACTACCAACACTACCATCACTCTCCAGGATAACGCTCAGTCCTTATAACTTAAAATGTAGGGCAGAATTTGGGAAACTGCCACTGCTGACCTGTTCTTAAAAAGGTGAAAACTTATTTTATACATTGATCTGTGTTTCATTCCAGAACATGATGATGCAGCCTGTTAAAAAAAAAATAAAAAAAAATCCTGCACAAAACCATCCATCCAGTCAAGATTCCCCACTGCCACACCTTTATCTTCCTAGCATCGTCACATACTTGGCATTGCATATCTGGGTATACATATACGGGTATATGTAAGGGTTTTCAAAACAAGATGCCTTACCTAAAGAGCTACTGTACCTGATCTTAAAAAGTAGATACTGAGCTGCTCAAAATAAATAAAGTCTGTGACAGCACTAGCAGAAAAAAACCCCACAGAGCTATGCTGTGAAACAGCCATAGTAAAACATGGTAGACGTAATGTTCACTGTGGCTGACAGATTAGACTGGACACATTAGCAGCGAACGGTGAAATGTATAATCTAATTCTACACCAACTTCACAGTGTAGCAGTGAAAGCATTATTCTCCAGTGGAGTGGAGTGTTTCTTTTTTTAATCTTGATGTGCCAGACTTGTAATTCACACATTCGTCAGCTTGTGCGGGGCTCTCTAATACAGAAGGGGTGTTACTGCCCATGTGAAAACTGAGGGGGAAAAAGCCTAAGAAAGAAAATGAACGCAGTCACCAATCTAATCTAATGATTGGTAAGTTGCAATGTATTACATTTTTGATTTTGGGTTTAATACCACTTTAAAGTAGAACTAAAGAAAAAAGGTTTTTTTCATTTTGGATAGAATAAGGGAGGGTTAGTTTTTTGGGGCCATCTGGGTCCCACTGGAGAGATTTTCCTTCACTTCCTGGTCCAAAACAGAAAGTAAGAGGAATTCCTTCCAAAGTGAGTGAATCTAGAACTAGTGTCCCCAATGGAAGATTTCCCATAGATTTCTGTTTTGGTGACAACCTAAAATTTGGGATTTTCTTTCACTTTTCATTCTTGCTGATAACAGCAAACAGAACAAATAGAGAGGCTGATTGTCCCTAATGGGGGTACACACAGCAACAAAAAACAAAAGGTCTTCTAATCCTGCTTCACTCTAACCAAAACCTAAAAAAACAAAAAAAAAGAAACAATTGCCTTCAGTTATACTTTAATGTGACTCACCATTTTTAGCACTGAATCCCCCCCCCCCCCCACCCCCAATACCCAGGCAGCAGTAGCTTGCATAGCAAGGGAGAAAACTTGCCAGGATAGAAAATCACAGAACTGAGCTGGGTACACATTTTGTGGTCAATGTTTGAGCTTTCCATTAAATTTGTAAGCACAGCAGTCTGCCACCCACCATATAGTTTATTTTAGTTTGTGTACTAAATGTCTGTGCCAAACCTTACTTCTCTAGTTACTAGAAACTATGGATGGCAAATTGCTGTGGTCAGCAGTGGATGAAAACCTAAAATATTGATGCATAAGATGCCAAATTTATGACTAGCATAAGTTTTCACCCTTCTGATCATACATGTAGCAAATTTAGATTTGGCAATTCAGATTTCATCATCTTTTGCTCACAAATTACTGTTTGCCACAACAATGAAAGAACAATTTGGTCTATTTTTTGTTGAAAACAATTGTCTGCCCATTTACTGCAAATGATTTGTTGACCAGCTGGTTCATCTGACTTCATCCAAAATTATATTAGCAGAGATCAGCCTCTTTTCAAATCAAGGGGTACCAGACACCTTCCAAAGATAAACTATGATGCAACTATGCTCCTGAATACTTTTTTGCTGGACTATTAATTTAGATCTACCTCAAGCCAGGCAAAGAATGCAGTGAAGAAAACATGTACTCTCTGCACAGCATGGCAAACTCAGTGAAAGTGACCACAAGCAGAGGCAGAGCTATATATGACTGACAGACAAGCAAGTCTGACATGCTTAACCCAGGGGTGTGGAAATTTAAAAAAAAAAAAACCAAAAACTACTTGTCCAAGGACTAAATCTGGTACCCCAATCTATTTGTCCCTCATGACTATCTACTTGTCTTGATAAATAAAACAAGAAATTAACCAAAACCATATGCAAATCTGAGTTACTTTTAGGAATGTCTGGGTCTTTTAAAAATGAAACAGCTCTTAAAACTAAGCACAAGGGCATCTGTTGAGCAAGTAAATAAGGCACTGACCCCAATGAGAAAAAAAAACATACCATTATTCCCTAAGGTTACCCTTGGACACAGAAGCACTTGGGTGCTCAATAGAAGTGCATGCTGAGCAGCCAAATATACTTCTGATATGCGCTCTGTTAAAGGTGAAGTTCACCTTTAAAAAAAAATAAATGCACATTTTCTGCAGGTACAAAATATGCATTTACTATTCCTCCCACTGATAAGACACACTAATTTTCCAACTGATACCAACAAAATAAGTCACCATTCCTCCCACTGACACCAATAATGGGGCAGTATTCCTCCCAATGATACCAGTGATGGGGCACTAATACTCCCCTTCCCTAGTACTGAATCGGATGATGTTTACTCCCACTGATGCCTGTAAAATCCACTCCTGCTGGCCAGTCTGCCCCCCCTAAAGTCTGAAGGACAATAAACTGGCCCTTTGTTTAGAAAGTTTGGAGACCCCTGCGCTAGAGAATAAAATGGTAGTAGTTCCAATTTTTTATGCCACATGATATTACGGCAAAGGTCGAGGAAATGCAAAATTTAAGTAAAAAAAACACACTAAAGGTCTTTTTAGGGCACAACAATGCAATAAATCACCCAATTTTTGGTAAAATATAAAAGAAAAGAATGCACTGTTTAAAAAGATACCCACCATGTCAAATCTTAAATTTGTGTACACCCGTGAAAAGGCGACAAACTTCAGCACCCTTTATTTTCTATAGGAGGAGGCGCTTTTAAAGCCTCCTCTAGGTCATCAGTTTAGCATTACGGAGGATGTCTGGTGCTAGAAATGTTACTCTCATTCCAACGTGCACAATGATATGTAATATGTATCACAATCGCATTTTCATACGTAGGTGTCCCGACACGTGCAACTTTTTTTGTATACAATAAAAAATTCTTTTTTACTTACATTTTTTTTTTTCATCCCAAAGGGAGAAACAGTCCCCTATGTGATGATTTTTTGGTTACAGGTTCTCTTTAATGAGACATGCAGGGTCTAAGACACCCTGCATGTCTCCCCTCTGCTCTTCTGAATGTAATGCAGTGCAGATCACACTGCAGTACATTATTTCCCAGCCTCGATGGCTGGGGACACTATCAATGGGGACCCGGAAGTGACGTCATACACAGGCACAATGGGAGGAGAGCGGATGTGTTCCCACTCTCCTCCCTCCCCTCTAACCAGCAGCCCCCCACTATTGCCGACCTGGGCCTGCAGATGGGCAAGCAGAGTCCAGGATACATAGCACGGGCGTGCGTGGAGAGGAGCACTTTCTCGGCATGTGTGGAAGCAATCAGGAGGCAGCAGAGCCTGAAATGCTTCCACCTGACAAGTCCTGCTGCTTGCCTACAGCAGTGCTAAATGTAAACAAAACCTACCTGCCTGGCACTCGGAAGTAAATGTCCTGGGTGTTGGGCGATACAAATTGTGCACCCCTGCTAACACCTTCCTGTCTGTAATCTTTAGAGTAAAATTTCCATCCATGATACCCACTGCAGAATCACTGTCAATCTAAGTTCCCCCTTGACCGTTAGAAGATGACACTATTCACGGCTTCTAGCAGTCAGGCCTGGCTGCCATTGGTGGCTTTGATTCCCACTAATGATCCAGAATCACATCACCACACTGAGAAACTGCTTTTAGCACTTTTTTTGTTGGCATCCCCAGGCCTGCAACATTCTTCAGGTGGCTGCTGGGAAGATGAATTACAAGTGCCCTAGAACAGTTCAGATTGATGCAGACCTGTTACCTCAGAGCTACACCTCCCAAGAGCCCTTATCCTACAAGTCAAGGCCACTACACAGTTTTTCTGGGAGAAATGTATACATGTGGAAAGGAACGGGGAGGGATGGTAGGGATAAGTTCTGATGTGTTCTGCAGTCCTGCAGAAAATTCAGGCAGGACTGAAAACATCATTAGGCTTTCAGTGCAGCAAAAGCAGTGTTCACAGCAAGATGTTAGGAGCTTACAAGATTTCTGGCAGAATCACTAGGTCATTTTCTTTTAATTACCGCATTGTAAAAGGATAAAACATGGGGAAATGTGCACGTATTGCAGAAATGCACTCTATACCTAATTATCAGTCTGAGGGCAATGTTACTTTACTTAAAAGGCTCATACTGCAGTGATCCTATGTATCAGAACAGAAGACCTAAAAAGCGTCAGAATACCTTTAACTTTCCAATCAGTACTCACAGCAAATTGTTAACTTTTACATTCAGGCTAAGAACTCATTTGATGGCAGCAATGAGACATTATCTCATAATTAAAACATCCAACAGTACATATACACATTACTCTTGTACTTTACACCAAACATAAGCTGGGGGTGTGCTGGTGTTCAACAAGTGAAGACAAATACATACCAAATATCATGCAGCGAGGTACAGAAACTTACCCAGAGACCAGTAATCAAGTCCTGGGTGGGGTGTGTATACAGAA